AATCCAAGCTGCTATCTATTACACCTTAGTTTCAGAATTTAAACAAAAATAGATTTGATTGTCCCATTTCATATCTTACAACTTTTTTTTTTTCCTCCATTTCAAAAAATTAGCCCAAGATCTCCAATTTTCAAAATATTTCATCATAGCAAATCCAGATGCATTTGTTGGTTTATACGACACTTGTGCTATCTAGGGAAAATGAAAACAACAGTGTCTACATTCGACACAAACTTATCAAAGGTTATTTAAGAAAAGAAAAAAAAAAAATCACTAAATTATATGTATAAATCATCATTTTAGGTATAATTCTATTTTGATATCAACCTGAGTATAGAATATGAGTCACAATGCCTTGTCCATTTGCTGTGGAATACAATAACAATTCATGTACAAAAAAAAACTGCAGAAATTCTACCTTTATTACTGTTATCTTGCATCTTGATAGTGAGGAGTGTGCGCATGTCTGTATTAAATATTTCAAAAAAAAATAAATAAATAAATAAAAATCTATTTAATTTGTTTTTCTTATATACAGAATGCAGTAGAATTACTTCCCATAATGGTAAGACATTAGCTAGATGAATACACTATTACCACTAATATCTGACGATTATGTGACAGTTATTTCTGCTGACCCATCCTGTACAGACTAGAAGACAGAATTTTTGTAGAATTTTTCTGCCAGGGATAATCATCTGAATATTAACAAAATTTCTTTTCTTGTTTGAAAAATATCCTCCATATAGGAATTTGTTGGCAAAGGTCAACCAACGGCCAATACCGAGTAATTTACTCATAGCACATGACCAGCGTATGTCCTTAATCATAACTTTTCATCAATTCACTGAACAGGCAATAATGCATTCTCTTAAGAATTTGCTCTGAGATTATTCAAAGTAAAAAATTACACTTAACATTACTTTTTTTTTGTCTAGGTTCAATATCCAAGTTCAGTATTTATGTGCGTATTTCCAGATATATCAATTTAATATATAGCATACCGAGCATCATCAGAAAAAATTTTCATATGACAATTTTGAAATCTTTAATATGTACCAAAGAAAAAAAAGAAAAGAAAAATATTCAAATATGAGAATACACAAGTTAATAACCTAAATTTCATTTTACACACACACACTATATATATATATATATATATATATATATAATTTTGTTGGATTGATGTGAATGTGACCCTGGGTTTCATGCTATTTGCAATTGTCAGACAAACTGATTAATTTTTAATTTGGGATTTATATATGGTTGCATATATCAGTCACAAACTCACATCAATCCAACTAAATATGTTAGCTCTCTCACTGATATTGAGCGCTTTCCAATAAGTACCGTGCATATATATATATATATATATATATATAAATAAAAGCTTAAAGTGACATTGAAAAAAAGATCAAAACCAATGAAAAACAAAAAATATAGATATTATTAAAATGTTATTTTCCAAAGGTCTGTTTTTTTATACTTCTTTACTAACAATCAAAATATCTTCCAAGAATGTTTTCCCTGCATGGACTAAATAAGGATTCAAGACAATTTATAAATAGTGATAAAAGCAGTGAAAAAAATGACTGTCATTTAGTGACTACATAAGAAAATTGGAAATTATTTGCGATATCCATTTTAGTTATGTTGAAAGTCTTCAAATGACGTGGTTTCTATTATTCATTAGTTCTTTCTTTGTGATTCTGTCATGCCAGACACAAAGGTTTGGAGAAGAATGGTTCTAAGACAAACATTTCATTCACTTAAATACATTTCGCACCATTGACCTGAGAAAGCAATTTTATACAGCAGATAGTTTTAATATTTCTGAATGAGTTTGACATCATGCATGACATCAATGTGAGAATCTTGACCTGACAAGAATATTTAAGAACATGACTTTAGTTTTTAGATTTATGTTTTGGTTTTCAAACAAATTGCAGTGTGAGGCAAAATAAATAATGAACTTACTTGTTAATTATGCTGACTCCTACCTAGGATTGAACTCAACATACTTGTCTAACAAATTAGACTCTTACTCCACAGCTTATTATGAACACTGGCATTTCTAACATATGACTGAATTTTGACAAGGCAGATATAAATTCTTTCTATACAAACATGATAAATTAAAAAAAAATGGACAGAAATATTGCTTATCCAGTGGAACTTTGACTTATGAACACTTCCACTTACAAAAATTTGTCAGAAAATTCATTTCGATTTACAAGAATGAGCTTCCTGCCACTGCATTTCAAACTAGATATTTGATATAAATGTACTGTAAATACTTTTTAATCTTATCTAAATATACTGTATTTTTGCATTTTTATGTTTTATATATTATTATATATTTTATATATAATAATACGGTAGTATTATACAATATTACAATACTTTTTATACTGTATTTTTGTACTGTACTGTTATCTACTAAATATTTGCAGATTTTATACTGTATTTTTTTATTCTTATATTTTTGTTTTATATACAGTGTATATTATAATATATTTTATATAGATTACTGTATTACTGTATAGTACATATTTCTATACAGTTCCATCACACTAGATGTAGTATGATGCTACAAGCACTGCATCATCCCACTCGGTCTTCTTTGTTACCTCGTAGAATAAACATTTGTAGTGCATGCATATTTGTGATTATATTAGTGTAAAAAAAAATTAATAATGTGCAAATATTTATGTACAGTAATGAATACAGTACATGTACATTATTGTACAGTAACATGTAAATTTAATTAAAATTTATTGAGTTAAAAGTAGGTAAAATGTGACAAAGCTGAGTTCATTTTGTTTAAATCACTATGTAATGTAAAGTGTGTTTTAGTCTAATATACAGTGTATAATAATTGAATTTTAAATTGATATCAATACAGTAGAGTAGAAAGAAAGATGTAAAAAAAAAATTATAAAGTTTAATTAGAGTAAAATAAAATGTATAAAATACAGGTAGAGCATATAAACTACACAGAAAAATAAGCTATGCATCCAGTTCAGGTTGATTTGTACGGTACCTTTCATTACTGCCGTTTGTTCCTTTACATTTTTCCATACAGTTACTGTACAGTTTAATGTGTTACTGTAAATATTACTGTACATGTACAATAAATTTTAGTGGGAAATATTTTGATAATTTTTCTAGTCCATGATGTCACTGAAGCTGGTTGCTACCAAGAAGAGGGAAAAATATCTGTGCAAATGAAGAAGGAGATCATTCAGAAGCACGAAGACGGTACCTATGTTTCTGACTTTACCAATCTATACGGACATTCAGCATCAACAATTTGCACTATCCTAAAGAACAAGATGGAAATAAAAAACTTGATGTAGCCAAGAGAGTTAGCATAATTACAAAGTATTGTCTAAAAGCCCTAGAAGACATTGAGAAGCTGTTGTTGGTGTGGATGAATGAGAGGCAGCTACAAGGTGATTCTGCGTCTGAAGATATTTCATGTGTAAAAAGGCAAATGCACAGTACAATGGATCTTATCTTAAAAATACCCAACACATCTTCTGAAGATGAAAATGCATTTAAGGTAAGTTGAGGATGCTTTGAAAAATTTAAAATGAGAACTGGCATCCACAGTGTAGTGAGACATGTAGAGGCTGCGAGCTCTGAGAAAGCTGTCTTGTTTCAGAGGTGTTTTGAAGTGACTGAAAATACAAACCTGACCCTAAGAGAATTTTGAAAGGTTTACTTCAATATCCTAAATTGCTTAAATCTCATTGATAAAGCCTGGAAAGGAGTCACTGATATATTTATTTAGATTATTTGTGTATAATCTTTAAAAGTAATTTTGCATAAAATATGATTTTTATATCAATATTTTTCGGGCTTGGAACAAATTAATTTCTGTTATTTTAAATGGGGGAAAATTGTTTTGACATATGAAATTCCAAGTTATGAATTCACTCCTGGAATGGATTAAATTTGTAGGTTGATGTTCCTCCTGTACATGGCAATTTTTAAAACTTAAATAATAAAAAATCACTGATGAAATATTTATTACACTGTGCCTTTAAAATTTGTTATACAAATGAAACATTACTATTTATACTGTAAAGGCCATTTATGAGTTATATATATATATATATATATAAGAGACTGATAAGAGATCCTTTACATTAGTGGTAGGTGTTTGGGTGTTTTGTTCTACTAATGTAAAGTGGAGGACACAGACAAAATTTAGCCGTAAGTAGATTTATAAAAGATAATTTTTTTTTTTTTGTTTAAATAAACCAGCAATTTTGTGCTAAACTATTTCATAGATGCCTATGAATAGCTGTATTTGTGAAACAGGAGAGGACTGATAACGCCTGGGTGGTGAAGCTCATTAACATGCACTCACTACTCCATTCTATTCACAAGCAACATTGTGAAACACACACCCTGACAAATTATTCATGCATTTCTCTTATGCTCTATTTGAACAATACTTCATTTTGGAAACACTTCAACAGGGCTACCCCTCCCCAGTGTTGTTCCATTATTGGTTACATACAAACCGCATTGTGATTCATTAATTCAACAATAATATAAATCAAATGAGAAGCCCAGATAGAAAAACAGTGGATTATTTTGAAACTCTGTTGAGTTCATCAGTTCAAGAAAAGGCGGCAAGGCCAGAGTTTGTTCTTTCACAATAAATAAGCCAGAACGATGGGTACAACATTTATTTAAGCCTAATAAATAACAAGATGGAGAGAAATAGATGCATGCTTATGCCACTCTGCAAATGATAGAGCATAATAAAGCAATCCATCTAGTGACCATCTACTGACAATGAGATAGCAAGCCGCCTTCAAGAGGCAAAAAGTAAATGAGTAGGTATACAGGCAAACAGAACAGAAAAAGAATAAAAAAAAAAAAAATGGAGGTGGTGAAAATCTAGCACTATTTGCAAAATTCAGTTTGTAAATATGGACACTTATGTTGAGCAAGAAACGACTGTTCTTCCAACAGCAGAATTATTAGAGAGAAAGAATGGGAGGAGAAATGGATGAGGAAGGGGAAAAGAGAGATAAGAGAGAGGGGCAGAAATGAACGAGGAAGGGGAAAAGAGGAATAAGAGAGTGGGGCAGAAATGGACGAGGAAGGGGAAAAGAGGAATAAGAGAGTGGGGCAGAAATGGACGAGGAAGGGGAAAAGAGGAATAAGAGAGTGGGGCAGAAATGGACGAGGAAGGGGAAAAGAGGAATAAGAGAGTGGGGCAGAAATGGACGAGGAAGGGGAAAAGAGAGAAGAGAGAGGGGCAGAAATGGACGAGGAAGGGGAAAAGAGAGAAGAGAGAGGGGCAGAAATGGACGAGGAAGAGGAAAAGAGAGAAGAGAGAGGGGCAGAAATGGACGAGGAATGGGAAAAGAAAGATAAGAGAGAGGGGCAGAAATGAATGAGGAAGGGGAAAAGAGAGAAATAAGACGGAGGGGTGAAATGAATAAGAAAAAGGAAAAGTAGATAGACATGAGTGTGGGGAGAGAAATGGATGAGGAAAGGGAAAAGTGGAGAGACAAGAGGGAGGGGGAGAAATAAACAAAGAAAGTGAAACTATAGAGGGAAGAGGGAGAAATGGATGAAGGGAGGGAAACTATAGAGACACAAGGGGGTGAGAAATCAATCAGGATAGGGAAAATTTTGGTTTGGTTTACGGCATATCAGCCTCAATGGGTTATTTAATGCCGACAAATTTTTATTGTTGGTAATATTTTTTTCTAAAAATCTATTTTTAGTAATATTTTTTCCTTCAAAAAAATCTATTTCTGGTAATAATTTTCCTTCACTGGTAATATTTTTTTTCAAAAATGTATAGCTGGTAATGTTTTGTTTTTTTTTTTCAAAAATGTATTGCTGCTAATTTTTTTTTTTTTTTTTAAATGTATTGCTGGTAATAATTTTTTTTTAAAAAGTATTTCTGGTATTAAAACCTATTTTTACACTTTCATAGTGTTTTGACCAGAGTTTGGGGGTTAACTGTTTGCCCATAGCTGAGACCTTAACAGGTGCTACCACCCAGAGTCAGAGTGGACCTGGGAACACCAGCAATTAAGAAAACCTCCTGATCAGAGGCCTTGCTGCTGGATGTAGTTTATTGTCTTACTCAGGACATGGATGTAGTTTATTGTCAGACCCAGGATGCAGGATAGGAAAAAGTAAAGAGTCCAAATAAAAAGAAAAAGGCAATGGTGGTCAAAAACCAAGAGAAAAAAAAAACAATGAAAAGAAGGAAAAAATGTAGAGAGAGAGAGATGTGAAGTGAGATGGAATAAGACTAACACCAGAAAGAGAGATGTGAGGTTGGATTAACATAAGAAATAGAGATAAGTTGGAGGAGGCATTTGCCACTAGAGAAAGATGAATGGTTAGGTAGGATGAAGCTACCACTAGAAACAAATATGACTCTAGCACCAGAGAAAGACAGATGGGATTTGACTATTATGAGAGAGAAAGAGGGAGGGAGGCCGAGAGAGGGAGGGGAAAAACCACCAGAGAGGGAAAGAGAGAGAGTAATAGGAGGGAGACTATCAGCAGAGAAAAAGAGAGAGAGGCTATAAAATGGGAGGGAACTATCAGCAGAGAGAGAGAGAGAGAGAGAAGCTATAAGATGGAAGGTAACTATCAGCAGAGAGAGAGAGAGGCTATAAGATGGGAGGGAACTATCAGCAGAGGGAGAGAGAGGGGGCTATAAGATGGGAGGGAACTATCAGCAGAGGGAGAGAGGGGGGGGCTATAAGATGGGAGGAACTATCAGCAGAGGGAGAGAGGGGGGCTATAAGATGGGAGGAACTATCAGCAGAGGGAGAGAGGGGGGGCTATAAGATGGGAGGGAACTATCAGCAGAGGGAGAGAGAGTGGGGCTATAAGATGGGAGGGAACTATCAGCAGAGGGAGAGAGAGAGAAGCTATAAGATGAGAGGGAACTATCAGTAGAGAGAGCAAGAGGCTATAAGATGGGAGGGAACTATCAGCAGAAATGAGAGAGACAAATGAGAGGGGATTAGCACCAGAGAGAGAAAGAGAGGTAGAGAGATTAGAAGGGAAAATCAGCAGAGAGATATGAATGTACAAACGATATGTTACTATTCAAAGTTTCAAAAAATGTTTCAGTTATAAGGAAATTCATTAATTATACATTGATTTGTTTGCAAAGAATTGAGGAAAAAAAAATACACTGCCCCTACAGAAAATACGCTAATTATTTTTTTAATAGGCAAGAATAATTTTATATATTTACAAGTTTTAATACCTTTTGTTTTGTGCTACTATTAATCCAATACAAGGCCTAAGAGTCCCTCAAGGTAGAGGATTACTGAATAAGGATGTAATGGCAGCATAAAGGGAGAAAGTAAGAAGTGCATATTATGAGTATATGTAGGATAGATAGTGGTTGACCCTAGAATTGAAAAGGTTATGCTTCTATAGATCAAGGAAGCATCCTCTTGGGAATCTCTTCCACAATGTAACAGTTATGGGGAGAAAGGGGGAGGGCTATCTGAGTGGAACTCCCTCTTTACCAATGGAATATGAAAGGATTGAGAATAAACATACAACAGTATAGTAACTCGCCTGTGGAAATCTCTTACCGTTTCTTCCTTCCTTCCTTGACACAGACAACCTTCAAAGATTTCAGTGCTTTGTCAATCCCTATCTTCCTGAATCCTGTTATTTTATTGTCCTTTCTCCTTACTATTAATTCTCTTTCACTCTCAGTAACCCCTTGCATCTTAGTAGCATAATGTATAACATATCCATTATACAAATTAGCTCATCTAATAAACAAATATAACCAATATAATAGAAGTCAAAGGTCTGCTTTCCTTTTTTTTTTTAATCTGTTAATACAAAAAATAATTGTCATGCTTCAAATATTTTGTTATACAAAAATGTAAATAAAATTAAAAAGAAATACTAAAAATATTTAGAAATTTTTACAGCTTTTTAAAAAAAAATAAATAAATAAATAAATAAAATAAAAAAAGGTTAGACAGCTCATTATGCTAACTTTAATATCAGAAAATGGCAGATTTGGTTTGGATGAGATAAGAGGGGAAAAACTAAATTTTACAACAAGAACTGATTCCTCTAACTTGTGTAATTTTCATTTTAGCAAATTGGTTGAATCCTACCACTAATTATATCACAAATATTTTCAAAATTATATTAAAAGTATTTTTTTTTTTAATCATTTCATCCTAAGCCAGGCAACAACATTACTAAAATGCAAGAGGTTACTGAGAGTCAGTACAGGACTTGATAGTATCCCTGCAATTGTCATAAGGAAATGTGTTCCTGAACTGGCTCTTGTTCTCTCTAAACTCTATGCTATTATCTCTTATGGAGATCCCGATTAGAGATGATAACAGAAACCATGGCATTATGTGCATCTCACACAGTACTGTTTTTATAGATTACAATTCAGTTAAAAATAAATACATTCAGCACCCTATAAAATATACAAAAGAAATTTTAAACTGAGTGAAGAAGGAAGGAATAAAATAAAGTGCTCAGAACTTTAGGCTTAAAATTTAAGTCCATATCAAAGCCATTCATATATTATATATATATATATATATATATATATATATATATATATAAGACATTTTTATGTTTAACGTTCTTTTTTATAGATACAAGTATTTAAGTAAATGCTCTGTTTATAATAAACAGTATTAAATAACATTTACCGGCCTGAATGTCCGAGAAATTTTCATAGAAAATATTCGTCCTTTGACAGGATTCGAACCTGCATCCTATACGGAACCGTCATTTACGCTGACGTGCCTTACTGACCAGCCACAAAGGAGCGTTTGGTAGACAAGGTCGAATTTACTGCTTATAAATTTCAATCTTCCATGAATCTCGTACATTCATAACTGCTGTGAAATTTACTTAAATACTTGTATCTATAAAAAAGAACGTTAAACATAAAAATGTCTTTAATAAATAAATTGTCGGACTTTGTCCATTTCTTAATATATGACGTCATTTGTTTACATTTGATACGCCAGAGCAGTTATGAATGTATGAGATTCATGGAAGATTGAAGTTTATAAGCAGTAAATTCAACCTTGTCTACCGAACGCTCCTTTGTGGCTGGTCGGTAAGGCACGTCAGCGTAAATGACGGTTCCATTATAGGATGCAGGTTGAATCCTGTCAAAGGACGAATATTTTCTATGAAAATTTCTCGGACATTCAGGCCGGTAAATGTTATTTAATACTGTTTATTATAAACAGAGCATTTACTTAAATACTTGTATCTATAAAAAAGAACGTTAAACATAAAAATGTCTTTAATAAATAAATTGTCGGACTTTGTCCATTTCTTATATATATATATATATATATATATATATATATATATACAGGTAGGCCTGGAAGTTGTATAGATGAGCTTTTTCAGTGGTGTTAAAGTTGAAACTGTATACTTGGAAAAAAAAAAAAAGAAAAATGATTTGTTTTTAAAAATTCAAAGTAGTATACTTCACCCGACCCTTTTAGATTATTTTAAATTTATTATAAAAGACATTGAAACAAATATAATGGCTTTGGTTCATATATTTTCAAAATTCACAGAAAGACCACTCCAAATATTGGAAAATTTGACACTTCCAGGACATACTGAAGGCCAAAGGAATGGAAGCAGGGAAACAGTGAGTAATCTACATAAAAAGCTTGTGTAAATAGATGACAGAAAAAAGACCAACATTGTTAAGAACTACAAAAGATAGGGAGTTGTGGATAGCCATGAGCATTCACATCTTGAAGGTACATGGCACATAAAAGAATTCTACAATGTGAGTTTCATGGAATTTGAGTTCAAAAACTGAATCCTTTAAACGGTAAGCTATCAATATAATAAGTAATAAATAGCAGAGCCACTCAAATTTGAGGATTTGAGTCTACTAGGGCAGCTAGTAGACTGGCATCCTGCTCAGGCACATTTATGTTTAACGCCCACAGAGCCCACCTATGCTTTATACCCGAACTACACTGAGCTGACCTTAGTTACAGTTTTTGAAAGAGAGCGTGTTATCTAGCGTGATCAGCTATCTATATGGAACCTAAGTTAGCAATGAAGTCAAGGGTTCAAGTAGAGTTCATTTTCCTGATAAAAATGGGGCACTTCAACATGGTGCTCCATACTTTCGGCCTTGTGCCACATCTAAGTTACACTTAGTAAATCAAAGGACACTTCAGTGTAGTGTAATGGTTAGCAAGATCAATTACCCTAGATCAATTACAACTGAGTTTGATCTTCACTAGGTGCTCCATTATTTCAGCCTTGTGCCACATTTAAGTTACACTTAGTAAATTGCCATTTAAAAAAAAAAAAAAGGAAAATTTTTTTTATCCTTGTTTCAACATGTATGCAAATCTGCGTACTGATTCACCTTACAAAGAATGTTGATCATTATCTGAAAAATGAACTGCCATCGTTTTCTTTTTTCTTCATTGAAGCTGTTTCAATTTTTTCTAATTTTCAACAATACTCTTACACCATAGAGAGTAATTTTATGTAATTCCAAGAACTTGGCAATCCTAGCTTCAAGAACTCATCTGGGCCAGACAACAATAGCTTTTAATTGAAATCAATGAAAATGCTACAAGTTTATACAAAAAGGAACCTTGCCTAAGTTTTCATTTTTTTTTTTCTTCTTTACACTTTTGGAATGATGCAAAATAAACTTAAAAAAAAAAAAAAAAAAAAAAAAAAAAAAAAAATGGATACAGAATCAAATCACCACCAGCAATATTATTAGGTTTTTTGCCTTTTTTACATTATTATCATCCTGCATTTAAAAGCTACAGAAATTTAGTCAAGGAAGCACTCTAAAATTTAATATGGTAGTTTAAGTGGAATTGATCTATACTTACTTACCTACAATGAAGGTATAGAAATGCAATTAATTTTTTTATAATAAAAATTAAAATGGAAGGAAAAAGAAGAATTGACAGTTAATTTATCTTTTTTTTCTATCGAACAATTTATATGAAAAAAAAAAAAAAAAAAAAATTTTAAAAGTAAAAAAGAAAAAATGGGGAATGTACAAAACATGAAAGAAATGCATATGATATTTTTTGAAAATTTGATAATCGTTGCTTGTAGAGCGCAGAAAGCAGCAGTTAATTCTGTCTGTCTCTTTTCTTATTCCCTCTATTCCATCTCAAGCAATTTATCTCATGTTGTCAGAATGAAATAATCAAAACACTTATAATGTAATGGTTCTAACCCTAGAGCAGAAAAGGAATTGAAGTGAACAACAAATGAAAAATCTCTTCTCCAAATGCACAGTGTTACAAATTACTCTTCTTACCAAACCAGAAGACAATGATAAAAACAAAAAAACAGATATTTATTGGGGGGAGCGGGGTGCAATTGTATAAATTCTTCAAGATCACACACTTGAAGGTTAAATAATGGGGTTTACCCCCACTTGGATTGCCAAGACGATGTTAGGTTGCACTGTTTAAGTATTGTAAAAGGACAAGCACATGTTTCTTGTTGTTCCTTTTCAATCTAGCACATGATAGGTAGCAATGCCAACACGGGGCTTGTCCATGCTGGGCACAATATCTTTCTCCCAAGAGACTGAACTGTGCATATCACAGACACATATTTCCTAACAGTTAAGTTTAATGTCTTTTCTTCCATTTGTGTACACACAAATATATTTTCTTCTTTTGTTAATCATTTATTAGCTTTCATAAAAATACAGAGTGAAACAGAAATACCTCCCACATTTTAAACAGGCACTCGTGTAGTTCTAGTGATCTTAGAAAACTGGCAATGGTGCCTTCGTCTAGCTAATGTCTAACCATGTGGGAGTTATTTTTGCTGCACCCTGTACAAGAAAACATCTGTGTTGAAATTAATTCTTCCCACACATTCCATTTCCTTTTACCTCTGCAAATAATGACAACCTGTTATTGACAGGTGAAAATTTTTGTCACTGCTTTTAGTTAATCTGGAAGTAATATCCACAAGGTTTAATGATTATACAAGATGATACAAAGCAATCACTTCAGTTGTTAATTTCCAGGTCCCATAAGACTATTAATATACACTTAAATAGATTTCAAACCAAACCTAAAAATGTGTACTTGCAAAATTTACTATACTTATGAAGTACTAATTGCATATGTCGACATAATAATATTAGAAATCCATCCCTAGGCCAGATTGTACAGACAAACTCAGTGGAAACAGGAGTAGCAATAATTGAGCAGTACAAAAGAAGTAATTGTGAGTTCAATCCTTAAGCTGGGAAGTACAGACTCAGGCTCAGTGGAAGCATGACTAGCAATAATAACAGATCACTTAACCAAGAGAAAATGCTCCAAGACAAAGCCAGCAAAATGAAAAGCCCCGTAGACTGAATAAAGTGTTTAGTTTCAAATTCCCTGAAGATTACCCAGATCAATAAACACCTGAAAAGGGCCAAAAAATACAATAGCTGAAATGACTTTTTTTTT